TCTGTCTCTCTGTCTCTCTGTCTCTCTGTCTCTCGTCTCTCTGTCTCTCTGTCTCTCTGTCTCTCTGTCTCTCGTCTCTATTCTCTCTTTCCTGTCTCTCTCTCTGTCTCTCTGTCTCTCTGTCTCTCTGTCTCTCTGTCTTCTCTGTTCTCTGTCTCTCTGTCTCTCCTGTCTCTCTGTCTCTCTGTCTCTCTGTCTCTCTGCTCTCTCTGTCTCTCTGTCTCTCGTCTCTCTGTCTCTCTTGTCTCTCTGTCTCTCTGTCTTCTCTGTCTCTCTGCCTGCTTGCCTTTGCCTTTTGCCTTTTGCCTTTGCCTTTGCCTTTGCCTTCTTTGTCTTTGTTGTCTTTTCTTTGTCTTTGTCTCTTGTCTCTGTCTCTGTCTCTGTCTGTCTCTACCTTTACCTCTACCTCTCTCTACTTCTACTCTCTATTCTACTTCTACTCTACTTCTACTTTACTTCTATTCTACTTCTACTTCTACTTCTTCTACTTCACCTCTACCTCTACCTCTACCTCTTACCTTTCTCCCTCTCCCTCTCCTCTCCCTCTCCCTCTCCCTCTCCTCTCCTCTCCCCTTTCTCCCTCTCTCCTCTACCTCTACCTCTACCTCTACCTCTACCTCTACCTCTCTCTACCTCTAACCTCTACCTCAACCTCTACCTCTACCTCAACCTCAACCTCTCTCACCTCTCTCTCTCCAACTCTCTCTCTCTCTCCACCTCTCACCTCTCTCACCTCTCTCCTCCTCTCTCCACCTCTCTCTCTTCTCCACCTCTCTCTCTCTCTCCACCTCTCCTCTCTCTCTCCTCTCTCTCTCTCTCTCTCTCTCTCTCTCTCTCTCTCTCTCCTCTCTTCTCTCTCTCTCTCTCCTCTCTTCTCTATCTCTCTCTCTGTGTCGTTTGTGGTTGTTGGTGTTGGTTGTTTGTGTGCGTGTGTGCGGCGTGTTTGCGGTTGTGCGTGTTGTGACTGTGTGTGTGTGTTGCCGTGTGTGGTGTGTGCGCCTGTGTGCGTGTGTGTGTGTGTGTGTGTGTCGTGTGTGTGTGTGTGTGTGTGTGTGTGTGTGTTGTGTGTGTGTGTGCTGGTGTGTGTGTGTGCCTGTGTGTTGTTGTGTGTGTGTGTTGTGTGTTGTGTGTGTGTGTGTGTGTGTGTGTGTGTGTGTGTGTGTGTGTGTGTCGTGTTGTGTGTGTGTGTGTGTGTGTGTGTGTGTGTGTGTGTGTGTGTGTGTGTGTGCGTGTGTGTGTGTGTGTGTGTGTGTGTGTGTGTGTGTGTGTGTGTGTGTGTGTGTTGTGTGTGTGTGTGTGTGTGTGTGTGTGTGTGTGTGTGTGTGTGTGTGTGTGTGTGTGTGTTGTGTGTTTCTACAATTTATGAACATATAATGAGATCAAAGACCACCGTCTTTAATAATGAATGATGACAATCATGATAATAACACATCATTAAATCTCTTAGAATATCAAAACACAAGATCAAAACAAACTCAAAACGGTGGCACAAAGTTTTTTTTCTTCTTTAAGAAATCATTTTTTTCAAAACAAGAAAAAAAAGAAAAATTAGAAGTTTCCAAAATATTTGTGAAAGCCAACCATGATGGAGTCTTTCTTAATTAAGATTCTTCAGTGTTTGCCGGTGTGGCCGCTAGGGGGCCGTGGGGGGAGGGTTGGGGTGCGTGGGGGAGGAGGGGGAGGAGGGAGGGAGAGTGGGGTCAGAGAGAGAGAAGATGGGTAGGAGGAAGGGAGGGGAAGGAGGGAGGTTAAAGGGGTGGAGGGGTGAAGGGGAGTGGAAGGATGGGAGGGAGTGTGGGGTGAAGGGGAGGGAAGGACGGGACGGTTGTGAGAGGAAGGTAGAGGGGAGAGAGAAGGAGGTTCGGAGCTGGATGGGAGGGAGTGGAGGGGCAGTGAAGGGAGGGCGAGAAAGGGAACAGGAGGGAAAGAGGAGAGGAGAGGAAAGATGCAAGAAGTAATAATGAGATGAAATAGGGAGGAAATGAGAGGCGGGAGAGGATGGGAGAGAGAGGGGAGCCAGGGAGAAAGGACGAGGAGGAAGAAATGGCAAAGGCATTCGAGGGGAAAAGAGAAGTAAGAGGACTATATAAAAGGAAAAGTCGAGAGAGAGGGAAAAAAGATGATAGGAGGAGGAGGAATGGCAGAGATGGTGATGACAGTGAGGGAAAATCATTCGAGGGGAAAAGAGAAGTAAGAGGACTATATAAAAGGGGAAAAGAGAGAAGAAAAGCTGAAGAGGAGGAAGAGGAGGAGGAACGAGGAGGACTATTAAACGACGACGGGACGACGAACGTCGAGGAGGAGAAAAGAAAATGAGACAGAGGAGGACGAGAAGAGGAGGAAGAGGAGGAAGGAGGAGAGGAGGAGGAGGAGGAGGAGGAGGAGGAGGAGGAGGAGGAGGAGGAGGAGGAGGAGGAGGAGGAGGAGGAGGAGGAGGAGGAGGAGGAGGAGGGAGGAAGGAAAGAGAGCGAGGAGGAGGAGGAGAGGAGGAGGAGAGAGAGGAGGAGGAGGAGAGGAGAGGAGGAGGAGGAGGAGGAGGAGGAGGAGGAGGGGAGGAGGAGGAGGAGGAGGAGGAGGAGGAGGGGGGGGATGACGACGACGACGACGACGACTACGAGAAATGTAAAGGAGATGGAGGAGGAGGAGAGGAGAGGAGGAGGAAGAGGAGGAGAAGAAGAAAATGAGACAGAGGGACGAGGAGGACAGGAGAGGAGGAGGAGGAGGAGGAGGAGGAGGAGGAGGAGGAGAGGAGGAGGAGGAGGAGGAGGAGGAGGAGGAGGAGGAGAGAGGAGGAAGAGGAAGGAGGAGGAGGAGGAGGAGGAGGAGGAGGAGGAGGAGAGGAGGAGGAGAGGAGGAGGAGGAGGAGGAGGAGGAGGAGGAGGAGGAGGAAGGAGGAAGAAAGGGGATGGGGAGAAGCAAAATATAAAGGAGAAGGAGGAAGAAGGATATCAACGATAATAATAATTTTGATTATAATAATAAGTAATAACCATAAAATAATGGTAATGGTAATCACAATGATAATAATAATGATGATAATAATAATAATGATAATGATGGAATTAATATCAACAGCAATAATAATAATAACAATAATAATAACTGATATAATAACAAGTAATTGATAATAATAACAGTAATAAAATGATCATGATAATGATGATAATGACAAAAAAAATTAATGTATAATAATAATAATAATAATAATAATAATATAATAATAATAATAATAATAATAATAATAATATAATAATAATAATAATAATAATAATAATAATAATAATAATAATAATAATAATAATAATAATAATAATAATAATAATAATAATAATAATAATAATAATAATAATAATAATAATAATAATAATAATAATAATAATAATAATCAATAATAATAATAATAATAATAATAATAATAATAATAATAATAATAATAATAATAATAAAAATAATAATAATGACCTCGAAGGCAGGTGTTAAACTCTTTGCTCCTTCTTGACTGTTCTTCTATTCGCAATTGATTAGCTTGTTTGTATTTTGTCTTTTGGTTATTAAGTGCTTTTCATTTTTTTTTTTTTTTTTTTTTTTGCTTTTATGGTATATATCTCTTTAATGTAGGTTGATTTTAACTGTGATTATGATTTACATTATCATTATCATGATTATTACCATTATTACTTTTATCATCATTATCATCATCTTCATCAATCATTACCATTATTAATGTTTATTGTTATTGTCAGTATATATTATTATTATTATTATTATTTATTATTATTATTATTATTTTATTATATTATTATTATTATTATTATTATTATTTTATTATTATTTTATTTATTATTATATTATTATTATTATAATTATTATTATTATTATTATTATTATATTATTATTATTATTATTATTATTATTATTATTATTATTATTATTATTATTATTATTATTATTATTATATTATTTATTATTATTATTATTATTATTATTATTATTATTATTATCATTATTATTATTCTATTATTATTATTATTATTATTATTATTATTATTATATATATTATTATTATTATTATTATTATTATTATTATTATTATTATTATTATTATTATTTATTATCATCATCATAATTATCATTATCATTATTACTGTCATTATCATTATCATTCTCGGTACCATTAATATTAATTTTAATATCATTACTGTTGCTGCTATCATTTTTGCTGTTATCATAATCAATTTTATAATTATTATCATCATCATCATAATTATCAGTTATCATTATTATTATCATTCCTGTTATCATTAGTAGTAGTAGTACTTTTATTAGCATTATTATTATTATCATATTATCATTATATCATCATTAATTGTTATTATTATTATTGTTATTGTTATTGTTATTGTTATTATTGTATCATTATCATTATCATTATTATTATCATTATTATTATTGTTATTGTTATTGTATTGTTATTATTATTATTATTGTTATTATTATTAATTATCATTATCATTATCATCATTATCATCATTATCTCATTATCATTATCATTATCATTATATTATCATTATTATTATCATATTATTATTATCATTATCATTATTATCATTATTACTATAATTATTATATAAAGATTACCATTATATTATATCATTTTCATTATCATTATTATTGTTATCATTTTGACTTTTGTTATTATTACTATCATTATTATCATTACTATTATCATTATCATTATCACTATTATAATTATCATCATTATTATTATCATCATTACCACTACTAATATTACAACTAGTACTAATTGTTGCCGTTGTTGTTATTGTTATTGTTGTTGATATTGTTATCATCATCATCATTATTGTTATCTTTATTTCATAACAATTATCATTATTACTACTATTAACATTACTATTATAAACACTCATTATTTATTATTATCATGAAAAACAAGAAGGGCGTCAAAGGAGAGAAATTTCAGTCATCTCACATCGCTTACGCCCCTGCTACACTATGAAATCGTTTGAAATGTATATAACAATCAAAGGGTCATGTCTTCATACATGTGATAATACACCAACACCAATAACTCTATATGCCCCCCTCCCTCAAACCCAAACTGTTCCGTGACAGTCCCCTTAATCCAGCTCTAATTATCACTGAAAGGTTAGCCACATCGACGTGAAAACCTGTCTGGTTAACCATATTGTGATGCAGCCAGAATTTTCTATAACACAACAGATATACAACAGTTATAGCCATACCTGTCAATAAGGGGTTAAGAGAATATAATCAATACTGACATTAACTTTTAATGTAATTTATAAGAAATATGTAAGGTGAAACTGCTGAAGATAAAGCAACTCAAATTAATTTACCTCAAACATATTTGAATATGAATAAAATATAAAAAAGTACATAGTGAAGTAGATATGAGAAATACTCTCAAGTTGTAACATCTTGCCATAATTTTCTAAGAAATCTGGTTTAATCCATTTTTACATCTGCTGATACAGAGGAAAAGAATACCATGGATTACATATGCATAATCACCAAATTACA